CAATACATATACATGTGTAGAGCAAAATGCAAAAGACCTCTTATACAATAGGGATAAACCGAAAAGGGCTATACACATCTAACACAAACACCTGTCATCATGTTTGCAACGTACTCTTAATTGTTTTCTCAATAGAAAATAGCTTGTTGCCGATAATACGATTATACTAAGTACACAGTATATCAAGATTTTTCACTTTCCATGGAGAGTAGAATTTGTAGGCAGCTGCCTCGTAACTAATAAGGCTGGCACCTTTATGCCAGTGTAGTTTGAAACATTGGGTAGTACTACTACAGGATTTATGCCAGTATATGTTTGAGAATTATATTTGCAAAATGCAGACTGACAAAGCTTCTACACTGTGATTTGGTGTGCTCTTCTCTTAAGTAGAGTAGGGACAGCCAGCACATGAATCAGCATGAGTGAACCAAGCCCAAAACACCTGACATCTTCAGACTACAACAAGCAACTCAAAGAATATATAGCAATGACAATAGTCTTTAGTCTCAATGCTTGTTCTCCCGACGCATAAAAGCTTACTGCCAATAGTATATACAATATACTCCCTCCGTTCCTAAATACTCCCTCCGTTCGGAATTACTTGTCTCGGAAATGGATGTATCTAAAACTAAAATATGTCTAGATACATCCATTTCTACGACAAGTAATTCCGAACGGAGGGAGTATAAGACTTTGGAGAGATTCCACTATGAACCACGTACGGATGTATGTAGATGCATTTTAGAGTGTAGATTCACTCATTTTACTCCGTATGTAGTCCATGGTGAAATCTCTACAAAGACTTATATTTAGGAACGGAGGGAGTACAAAACACTAGTATTCGCAGAAGATGAAGCTTAGTGTCATGGACTACTTGTTAGTCACAGTTAACGTGGACCCTCTGAAAATAATTAGCGTTGTACACAACTTGCTAATCTCACCTCGCTGAATTAATTAACAGTTGAGGTGAGGTGAGGTGAGGTGAGCTCCATCCTGCCCCTGACGGAGCTATGTTTGCCCTTAGCAGATGCAGAGGTTCTTGATCCATCCAATTGATGCCCCATGGGAGAGGGGCATCTGAATCTGAATCTGAATCTGCAGATAAGACGCAGAGGTTGCTGTAACCATTGATGTATGCACTTTGTCTTAGACAACTCAATTTGGGCCACTGATTCAGATGCAATCCTTGTTCCTTTTTCTCATAGTACTAGTACTAGTACTAGTAGGAGGGTAAAACATGTTGCTTAACCTGCTATATTTGCTATCACCAATTTGCTCTTTGGGAACCAGCCACTGACGGTGACCGAAAAGAAACACAAAAAGACTTTCGGAAGTACTGTGCGGACGACACTTTGCCCACACGAACTGAGGACGACGGATGATTGACGGTGCATCCAGGTTTTGCTCTGCGTATGTACGGTCAGATGTGCTGCATCGTCCAAAGATCGTCCAATCTTGTCGTGTGTATAGCAGCGCTCAGAGACTTTTGCCATGTTTTATATGATAGTGTGTTTTTTGGACACCTTGTGTTGTGCAAGCAATACACAAAAAGGCATGTGCCATGTTTTATATATAAAGCAAATGGCTGAACCGATACAAGAGGAGATCAAAGAAACAACAAGATTACAAAAGAAGCTCCAACCCACCCCAAAGCGACCGAAGCTATTAATAAAAGGAGATAAAAATCACACCTCCTTAGAAGACCGACATCTCTCGTTGCATTGCTCCCTCAAGGCATTGTCGGTGGCCTCTCTGCCCTCCTGCTCCGGATCGTTTTTCTAGAAAAAGGAGGAAGACCCCCGGCCTCCGCAGATTGCAGCAGGTGGCGGCGGCGAGGACAGATTAGGGTTGGCGGAAGAAAGCGAGGGTGGCGCGGCCCGACCAGGTGGGAGGGGGCGGCTGTTTTATGAGAGTAATTTGCACAAGACCCCTGCTTTCCTTTCCTGCGTATTCAAGCGGCTGGAGACGACGTGGCAGTCAGCGCCCATGTGGATTGAGTTTTTTGTATGGACCAAACAATACCATATGGACCGTATGTGGACCCCTAAGACAAGTTTAGTGTTGGTATTTCGGGTATTTATAAATACGAGGACTAAATTGAACAACGCGACGAGTATGAGGACCTCTAGTGAATTTTTTCTCTACTATTTTTTTTCTACTAAAAGACAGAATCAAATCAGCCCCTGTGCGACCGTCTATGTCTTGTGCGGCGGCCGGCCATGGAGTCCTCGACGCGGCCCCGCGCCCCCTCGCATGACGGGCCTCCCTTCTCCGCCACCGCCGACCTCTCTCATGTCTGAATCGAGCTCCAGTCTTGTCTGCCGCCGCGCACTTCTCTCTCTGCTGAGATGTGCTAGCTAGGGCCGCCACCAGGAGGCGGCACTTGTCCTCCGCCGCTATGGTGAGCTCCGTCAAGTGAGGTGAGGATTCATTCGCCCTTACCATGTGAGGTGAGCTCCATCCTATTCCTGCCCCTGGACTGGAGGGACACGCAGAGGATGCTGTAACCATTGATGCACTTTGACTTAGGAAACCCAATTATATATGCCCGCCGGTTCAGATGCAATCGTTCGTTTATTCTTTTATTTCTAGACTAGACTAGACTAGAGGAGGGTAAAACATGTTGATTAACCTGCCTGCTATGTTTACTACTCATCATGCCTTGAGCCAGTTACTTCACCTAGCTACTATCACCAATTTGCTCTTTGGAAACCAACCGGCCTCTGACGGTGACGAAAAAGTAACAGAAGCAGGTAACAAACTACTAGCTAGTACAATTTGGCATAATCTCTGCCTCTAGTGTTGTTCCTTTGATGCATATCATTATCATTGTTACCCATTTGCAATTGTATAGTGCTGTCGATTTCCTGTAAATTAAAGGCATGACAGATGGTATTTTATTTTTTTGGCATATACAGCTTTCGGAACTGGAGCCAAGGAAGGCGCTTGGAAATCACAAAAAAGGGGCGCATTGATGGTGATGGAAAAGAAAGAGAAAAGAAGCAAGTAAGACGGCCTACCAACCATTTTTGTTCATACATACTCTTTCAAACAAACTTCACTGGATTTCTTGCTTTTGATGTCCTACACTACACGGTATGCAATTGTATATTACCATCGATTTGCAATTGTTGAAACAGTGGTTACCTCGATTTGCCCCCTCATGCCAACAACCACTCTTTGATCACTTGCTTCTTATTAAATAGAGTATAGCTTAGGCCGGCAGCTTGGGCCACTTGTTGTACTTATAATCATTTGATTAGTCAATAGTGGTTGCGCTGCAGACAGTGGGTACCTGTTACTTGGGGTTTTCAGCAAGTTAGAGCTCAGCTCAAGTTAAAATACACAACTAGCTAGCTGGAGCAGACTTTGCTGGCTTCAGCGTCTATGTTCAGGCAATTGCTTCCATGTAGTATAACCATTGATGCAATTTGTCTTGACAACTCAACTCAATTTGGGTCAGTCACCAAGAGGGGGGAGAACCCCATCCGATTCAGGTGCAATAGTTGTTCTTTTTTTCTTTCCGAGGAGGATAAAACATGTAAGTTAAACTATATGTACTGCTGAATATGCCTGCCTTGTAGCGGTTAGTTAACCTCTGTGTTCTGGCCAGTGATGGGGATGGAAAAATAAAGAAGGACAAGCAGGTAAGGTGACCTTTCTTGAGGCCCAAACTGTTACAGTTGTCATAACCTGTCTTATCACCCACCTCCTCTCTGTTTTTCAGATTACCCACTTGCAATTGTCAGTTGCCATATATATCCTGTAAATTGATGGCATATGAGATCATAATTTTGTTGTTTGTCATACCTTTCTGAACTGGAGCGATGCTTCCTGGAAATCACAAAGGGGCAGTGGTGGTAATGGAAAAGAAAGAAAAATAAAGAGAAGCAGGGAAGATGACCTGCCATTTCATTGTTAAAAAACATGAATGGATGGGCACTTGCTTTTTATTAACTAAAGCTTACGCGTCCGCTTCATGTATTTTAATCATCGTTTGATTAGTGAGTGCGCTACAGACAGTGGGTACCGGTTAATTTTTCAGCAAGTTGGGCTCAGCTCAAGTTAGAAGAAATGCAACTAGCTGGATCAGATCCATTCATGTCTTGTTGACCCCCATTGGAGAGTCATGCATCCTATTTCTCCTACGGTGTCGTGCTAGCTGCCTCTCCCACGATCTCCCGTTCCCCTTCATCACCGCACTGTCTCCCACAATAACTAGCTTCCTTCGTCATCCTTTACCTCTTTGTTTTCTTTCTTGTGTGAGGTAGTCTTTCTTCTTGCTGTTTCTTCTTCAAATTATACATATACTGCTGCAAAATCAGGATCAACAATCAGCTTGTAGCGGCTCTGTTTGCTATCTGTTCACTGATTTATCTCTATTTCCCGCTCTGCAGGTTTTCGACCTTTGATTTCCACTCCCATTCCATTCATCGCCACACCGGCACCAGAAGTCCCTCAACGCCTTTGTCTTCTCGCACCTCTTCATTTGGGTAAGCTCTCTCCCATCTGTGTTCTTTCTTGGCAGTTTTAGTCCTCTGCTTGCTCTTTTCTTCTTCAAATACATCCATTGGCACAAAAAAAAGCAGGAAGAAGAATCAGCTTGCAGTGACTCATCTCCCTCTTTCCTGCTCCTGCAGGTTTTCCATCGATCGCTACTCCAGAGGCTACATTGTTCACTTCTCCTTGTTCATCCTATTCCACCATTTAGTGGCTCTACCCATCCATTCCATCCTCAACGCCTTTTCTGGATACACTTCTTTGCTTCATTTTTCATCCTAGTGATCCTCTCCCCCAACCACCATACAAACAGAAGATTCTGTTAACACACAAACAAATCTTCCTTTAGAGTAATTTTACCTATTGCCCATCTTTGCTCTGTTATATTCCCTATTTTCATTCCTAGAAAAAAATAAAAAAATCCCAATTTCCGACCTTGTCTTGCCACGTCCAAGAAAAAAAAAGGATACATCTCCCCTTGTACTCACGGTGTGCATTCCATGGCGGAAGTGGCGCTGGCTCTGGCTGGCGCACGGGCTGGCCTAGACTTTGTGGTATCACCGATCCTGAAGAAGCTCCTAGCTGACCCTGCAAGGTGCCTTGGTGTGGACATGGCAAGTGAGCTCCATGAACTGGAGACCAACATCATGCCGCAGTTCGCTCTACTGGCTGAAGCAGCTAACAAGAGCCCGCACAGGCCAATGTTGAACAACTGGATCCAGCAGCTCAAAGACGCCTTCTGTAAAGCTGAGGACCTACTGGATGAGCATGAGTACAACATCCTCAAGCGCAAAGCTGAGAGTGGGAAGGACTCTTCGCCGGAGCATGCATCTTCCAGTATTGCTATTATGAAGCATGTACGTACTGCGTCGAGCAGGCTGTCCAATCTGCGCCCAAAGAATAAACGGCTGTTTGATCAACTGAAGGAACTGAAGTCCATCTTGGCCAAAGCGAAGGACTTCCGTGAACTGCTCAGCTTACCTGCCTGTAATAGTGCTGAGACCTCCGCAGTACCAACAACTGTTGTTCCACTTGTCACATCAATGGTACCTCAAAAAGTGATTGGTCGTGACAAGGATCGAGATGGTATTATAGATCTTCTTACCAAGCCGATTTCTGTTGAGTCTGATACAAGTAGGTATTCTGGTCTAGCCATTGTTGGACTTGGAGGCATGGGAAAATCCACCTTAGCGCAGCATGTTTACAATGACAAGAGGGTAGCAGATCATTTTGATGTCAGGATGTGGGTCTGCATCTCACGCAGACTTGATGTTGAGCGCAACACACGGGCGATTATTGAATCAGCAGCAAAGGGAGAGTGCCCGCATATTAACAATCTTGATACTCTACAGTGCAAATTAAGGGAGATACTGCAAAAGTCAAACAGATACCTTCTTGTGTTGGATGATGTATGGTTTGAAGAAGGCACGAATGAGATGGAGTGGGAGAAACTGTTGTCTCCTTTAGTATCTCAACAGGCGGGAAGCAAAGTTTTGGTAACTTCTCGATCAGATGTACTCCCAGCTCCTCTTTGCTGTAATGAAATTATTCATTTGAAAGACATGGAAGATAGAAATATCTTAGCACTCTTCAAGGACCATGCATTTTGTGGCACAACAATTGGAGACCGAAGATTGCATGAGCAGCTAGAAACTATTGCAGAGAAGCTTGCTAAAAGACTTGGAAGATCTCCTCTGGCAGCAAAAACTGTGGGCTCGCAGCTGAGCAGGAAAAAGGATAAGGCTGCATGGGAAGGTGCTCTAAGGCTTGACAACTTAAGCAATCCCAGTAGTGCACTTCTGTGGAGTTACGAGAAATTAGATCCAAGTCTCCAGAGGTGTTTTCTGTATTGCAGTTTATTTCCAAAAGGCCACCTTTATTCCACTAAGGACTTGGTTAACATGTGGGTAGCAGAGGGACTTATTGATCCGTGCAATGTGAACAAGAGAGTGGAAGATATTGGGAATGATTGCTTTGATGAGATGCTCTCAGTGTCATTCTTTCAACCAGTTTACAATAGTGACATGATTGTGTACTACTATGCTATGCATGACCTCGTTCATGATTTGGCAGAGTCACTGTCTAAAAAAGTCTTCTTCAGATTAGAAGATGATAAGGTGGCATCAATACCATGCACTGTTCGACATCTATCTGTTTGTGTTAAGAGTTTGAAGCAACATCAGCATTTAATCTGCAGGCTACATCATTTACGTACCTTTGTCTGCATTGAGCCACTTACAGATGATGCAAGAGACATTTTCCAGCAGGTGCTGCAGAAATTGAAGAAGTTACGTGTACTCTATTTGTACTTTTATAACAGCAGCAAGCTACCTGAATCTGTTGGTGAATTGAAGCACCTTCGGTACTTGAACCTCCAAAATACTACAATCTCTGAATTGCCTGGATCATTGTGTGCTCTTTACCACTTGCAATTCCTTCAGCTCAGTGATGAGATGGTTAAAATTTTACCTGATAAAATATTCAGTTTAAGTAAGTTGAGATATCTTGAAGGATGTGGCCAAATCCCATACATAGGCAAGTTAACTTCGCTGCAACACCTCAAACAATTTTGTGTACAAAAGCAGATGGGCTATGAGGTGCAGCAGCTAAAGGACATGAATGACCTTAGAGGCAGTTTAACTATCCAAAATCTTGAGAATGTCGCTGGGAAGGATCAAGCCTTAGAAGCAAAGCTACATCAGAAAAGTCATCTTGAGAGCTTGCACCTTGAATGGAGTTACAAAAATGACATGACCGCACATGATAGTTTACATTTGGAAACTCTGGAAGGTTTGATGCCACCGCCTCAGATTAGGGGCCTTACTATCATAGGTTACAGATATGCAAAATATCCAGACTGGTTGCTTGAGGATTATTATTTCCAGAATTTGGAATCACTTGCGCTTGTTAATTGCAGTGCCTTAGAAATCCTACCATCCAATGCGGCTCTCTTTGGGAACTGCTCCTCACTCCGCCTCGAGAATGTCCCAAACCTGAAGAAATTACCTTCTCTTCCATCGAACCTTGAAGAGTTAGCGATTGAGAAATGCATGTTGCTTATGTTTATTTGCAACGATGAGCTAGAAAAACATGACCAGAGAGAGAATGCCACGATGACATACAACTTGATGTCACGGCTTTCTTCCATGTGGGAGGCAGATTCAGGATCAAAAATCAGGAACATACTATTGTCAGAGCATTCATCTCTGAAGCAATTGATGATATTGATGGATGCTGATATTTCTCATCTTCAAACCATTGAAAGTACTCTAGAAAGGGAGGGGGATGAAGCATTGGTAAAAGAGGTCATCATCAACGCGTGGATATATTGCCATGAGGAGAGGATAAGATTCATTTGTACAACGAACATCGGCCTGCCACTGGTTCCGCCATCAGGGCTTTGTCGGCTTTTCCTTTCTTCCTGCATCGTTACAGATGGAGCATTGGCTGTTTGCCTTAATGGTCTCACTTCACTTAGAAGTTTGTCATTAAAAGAGATTATGACTTTAACTACACTTCCATCACAACGTGTCCTCCAACAGTTGGCAAAGCTTGATGGCTTGTCTATTGACTCGTGCTGGTGTCTTAGATCCTTAGGGGGATTACGAGCTGCTACCAGCCTCTCATACATTTCATTATGGAGCTGCCCTTCTTTAGAATTGACATTCAGAGTAGCAGAGTACTCAGTTGTTACTTAGTTGACTTTTAGTTGTAAATACATGATTCAGCTAATTCGAGAATCGGCTCACATACGATTAACGTGTACATAGACTCGATCAATCTGCTGATCAAATACATTAGTTTCTTCATTAGGACCCTGATCAAAGTCAAGACTTCTTATAGCTACTTCATATATGTAGACCGAGATTGCATCACGCAAAACAAAGTCTACTTTGATGATGCACATGGTGGCTTAGTTTTATTATTTGCCATCACAGAAATATCCAGCTGGATATGATCAGCTCGCAAGTGTCTAAACTCAACAAAGTCTACTTTGGTGATGCATACAATTCACCACTACACACGGATCAAGCTCGATAATATAGCAGCAACTCAGCTCAAAACATCTAGTAACATGGAGGCCTGCTAGTGCTAGGTGACTAAGCGTGCACCCTGTTCTTATCGGTCTAATCACATGCACCGCGGTTTTGGTGGCGCCATCACCCGGTGCTGATTCAGCGAACTGCCAATATCCACTGCATGTCACCATTGCTAGAAATTGTTACACTATGGAACAAAGAACTAAAGAGAATAAAGTAGATGCAAAAAATCGCTCTTATTTTAGAAGGAAAACTTTATTGATCTCTGAGACAATGCATCAAACTGAATGCACCTAGGCCATTGTAGTACTAAATAAAAGAGAGGCATAAAAGTTAAGGCTTTACTTATCAATAATCTCTTCCAGAAATATGAGTGTTAAAGTAACATATAAGTAAAGCAACATTCATAATCCTGAGATGCACACGTCTTCCAAATACCCAACACGCAGCTGAGCACCATGATGGTGATTTTGCCATTAACGTGATCGATTACATACACATGACTAACCTTATACCACATACTAACAGTTCTATATTAGATGGGGAGAAATGTTTCTTTGGGTGTATCTTAATTATGGTTCCACTACAGAACAATATTCATTGTTTTAATATAAGAATTAAAATAAATTTTTATTAGCTGCTACAACTCGTTGACCACGCCCTTTCATTACCACATTAGTACATACAAACATTACGTCGAAGTCATAAATAACTCATCAATCCAAACATTAATTAGGGTATGCGCGAGTACGTAGGTATTCACCAATCTCATGAACAGACCAGTTTCAGTTAAGGAATGCCTATTCATTTGTGTGTCGTTCAGCTTCAGCCTCATGCAATGCTCCTGTTCGTTCCAGGCTTCTAGCAAGAGCAAGCGGCATGCATGCACATGCACTCCAGTTCAAGTTCTTGGAATTTATTTTTTTCTGAGGCAAGTATTTGGATTTTTGTGGGTGCTATACACACATATACCCAACGGCAAGCTTTTAATTTATTTTTTTGTGATTTGTCTGTTCCACAGAGTTGCCCTCTGCTCGGGTAGGTAGGCCCCCTCGTATTTTGATTCAAACTTTGACCATGAATTTAACGTGCAAAATATATACTATTGGATTCATATTAGAAAGAAGTTTCCAATGATAAACTTTTTGTTACAAATAATTCATATTTTATTAGTCAAATTCGTGGTCAAAACTAGACCAAAATTATGAAGGGGCTTATATGTACCCGAATGGAGGGAGTATCATGTAACATGTGCCCCCGCAAAAAAAAATCATGTAACATGTGGGGGGCTTCTGATTTCTACGTTTAGTGTACTACATTTCAATACTACCGGAGAAATCTTATGTCAAAAACTTGGGACAAATAGGATGGTATTGCAAACATAAGACATCGATAGGCAATTTATTTTCTTTCATATTCAAGGTGGGACCTAGGTGGAGCGTTGGGAGCAAACGTGTTCTGAGGAAAAAATGTTTAGACCTTTGTATGACATGTCAAATGAGTTGCTGAGCTGCTGACAAGTGGATTCAGCCTTTATGTTTACTATGTGACCGTTTTCCAATACAAATAGAGCAAAGTGGACACGAAGTGGTTGAGTTTTCAAATGCATTATAGACAAATACGTTTAGTGTAGTCTCTGACACTTAGGGAGTAAAAAGTGGAATGTACTCAGAAAAAACATAGAGAAAAGGAGCTAGTGGCCATATTGGACTTCATTAGCAACCTTAGTTACTACAAAAATAAAATAATACAATGATCGAAGTGAGTGAGATGAAAAAACTCAATGAACGTACATTTTACTATTTTCATTTACACTTGTTTTTCACAATAAAAAACCCCAAACACACAAATGAAGCCTCATGGCAGACTTCCACAATTAACTAGACCCAGCCGCCAGATAGAATGCTTACCATGTACCAACGGAACTCATCGTTTTTTGTGTGTTTTCTTCACCGAAGAGCTTTGATAAACCAAAATCTGCGACTTTCGGCACCATATTCTTATCTAATAATATATTATCAGGTTTTAAGTCAAAATGCATTATAGGATGCTCCAATCCCTCGCGAAGATATTTTAGACCTTCACAAATCCCTTTGATTATTTTGTAACGTATGTGCCAGTTAAATCCTTTATTTTCATCTACAACAAAGAAAATAACACGAGTGTTGCTAAATATAAAAAAATGTAAACGCATGTGAGGCACAGAGCAACAACTTAATTACCAGAAATATGCTTGTTTAAGCTACCATTGTGTACATACTCAAAGCAAAGTGCCCTATGTATATGTGTTGCGCTAACTTGTTTTCCATCAAACTCTGCAAGTTCTTCCTCTGATTCTTGGCAGAATCCAATTAACTTCACAATATTTTGATGCTTGAGCCCCCTGAGATTGTTGAACTCTTTATGAAATTCCTTGTCATCTAATCCCAAAATGGTATGTCGTAGTACCTTCACGGCAATCTCTCCTTGACTTTCATGTACACCCTGTCAGACATTTCATGTTAATATTTTTTAGACTGATTACTCTGAGGCAAAAGCCTCACCGTCCTTTATTAAAGAACTGAGAAGTCTCACAAACAAATAAAAGCTAAACAAGACTAAATATCAACACCATCTTGTGTGCAATTGATGCATGGTATAGTAGAAACATACAAATAGAAACACTAAGTTTTAGTAGCTCGAGAAATTATTTGATACCACAACTCCGAGGTACCTCATAATACTTTGCCACACTTTGTAGGTATTCTTTTCACAAAATCAAAACGCGTCGCCTAATTAATACCAGTGTAGCAACAGGAAGGTCCATGCTAACCGAGGCACGACCACTAAAATAGTCTAGCGGTGCAAGGACAACAGCAACATCTAATTAATTCCACAAATTATGGAAGGAGAATATCTAGAGTTATATATACATGTTGATCAGCAATCAAAAGTTGATACGATGGAGAGAAGAAAACATATGAATTGTTTTATTATTCATATATACTATGTACCTTGTAAACTGTTCCAAATCCACCACTCCCAAGTAGTCTTTTCTCATCGAAATCATTTGTAATCTGCTTTATCAATTGGTATGATAGCTTACTTGGTTCGTCACTTGTATGTTGTTGTAGCTTGGGCTCCATGCTACTGCTTCAAAAAAATATGCATAAGAATAAATATATATCATGTCATGCATAGAAAATAATACGCCATACAAACTATGTTACGACTTATGACCAATGTGCACTCGAGCTTCTGCAACTATATATGGGTGCACAAAAATGGTTACCAACATAAAGAGAAGATCATATTAGTTCCTAAAGAAACAACATGGGATGGAGTTTTTGTGGTATGCATACTAGTATAGACTAATAATTGGTGAAGATTTTCCCTAATTAAACACAAGTGGACTGTTTATGAGATTTACCATCTGAAACTTAATCATCACACCTCAAAATAAATAGGGTAGTTGCATTCAAGATGAACTTACTTGGAATCCTTCAGAAGGAGAACAGCAGGAAAGAGGTGCAGATGAAACGATTTGAAATGGAGGGTCGCTGCGGCGGCTCAAGTCAGTGATGGCGGGGGTCGCGCTGCCTGGAAATTAAATGGGGGGAGGGCGGTGGGGATACTTAATTAGCTTTGCGGTGCTCGTGGACGGTGGGGATCAACCGAATCAACCTCCTTCCTTGAAGCGGCCAGCCGTCTATCTACTCCGCAGCTGGGGAGAGAGTGAAGAAGAAGAAGAAGAAGAAGAAGAAAGTGTGGGCAATCCGGCCAGTGGACATGGCCAACTGAAGAATAGTAAGGGCCAACTACCCCTATGGTATTTTGAAAGTCAACCATCTCCGCCAGATAACTGACTCCGTCACGGCCAGCCAGCAGATGGCATCACTTAAGTGTATGTTGCATCTGTCAGAAGATAGCTCTGATCAATGATAAGGTTAAGATGACGAATACATTATTTTCTTTTTGAATAATGGCCTGCTATTTAATCACCCTGTACCTCTCAAGATGCATACGACAACCAATGTGCAATTTTATTAGCCTGTCACTGCTCAGCCTTCTCTTAAGTGTATATATGTATGTCCATGTGGAGAGTTTTTTTTTTTTTGCGAATGAGTCCATGTGGACAGTTTAGAATGAATTGCTCTGAACGTGCCCGAGATCGAGACTGGTATGACTTCGACTAAGTCGTAGCTAGTTAACTAGTGCATTGTTACTTATTTTGTATCTAATCATTATTATTCCTTGAGAGACGATGAAGACGGGCCTGTGCCGTGGAAAATATCCAATAATTTCGAGAACTAATACAAACCATGATTTTTTTATTGCGGAGACTACAAACCATGATTTAGAAGCAGTGCTCAGGTTTTTAAGCCACCCGGTAGTTATTTAGTTGAATTTCAGTTTTAAATCCTTGATTTAAATAATCGGATAATTGGTCAACATTTGGTTAAGGTGAAGAGAGGCTCAATCGACCGGCTAACCAAATAAATGGATTTCTTAATTATTAGGACGCTGATCAATGTCAAGACTTCTTATAGCTACATTTTATATATAGAGCGAGACCTGGAGGTATGCACGCAAAACAAAGTCTACTTTGATGATGTATGTTGGCTTAATTTTAGTATTCGCCATCACACTCAGATCGAGCTGGATGGTAGGTAGCAACTCAAATCTCAACTGTATTAACTTAATAAAGCCTACTTTGATGATGCTAGCTAGCTTAATTTTAGAATTCGCCCTCACACTTGCACTTGCATCAAAGCAGGATAACTGATAGCAGCAACTCAATGAAGTGACATGGATTAAAACTCGATGTGTCGTGGATTATTCTTGCTAGCTACAGGACAAACCAATCAGTAGTTGATGCGACAACTGCTCATCTAGTTCGCAAGTCTTGTTTGAGTACATAACAATTAACATCATAAAGGCATCGCTAGCAGATTCCTTGGACTTCGAATTTATATTTAGGGGCAAATTTTCAACCCATTCTAGCAGATGTCCTACACCATATTTTCCTAAAAAATACTTTACTACCTCCCTTCCCCTAAAACACAGCCCCACCTCCCCACTTTTAGTCCAAGAGGAGGCAGTCACAGGATAAATGAGGAGAGGAGAGGCTCCCGCAATAATGGCCGAACGGCTGGCTCACCACCCGATTCGACCACCATCGGCTATAAATGTTGGCGTTGTGGCGCCAAACCCTAGCCCACACCTTCATTGAAGACCTGTTGGCACGAAGCTGGTCAATGGTGTGCAGGAAGACACTAAAGTCTGCAATTTTACAGCCCAGCCCTACTCTTTGGAAATTTAGTAAGACAAGAACCATGGACCCTTGTATCAAATCGCTGGATACTAGCAAAATTAAGACAAAAGATTAATTGCACGCCGCTGTGGAAAGGTAAAGAATCAAACAATCGCGGGTGGGAAGGGAAATGACGATTAACCGTGCCTAACTTCACGGCCGCTATGCCACGCGCGCCTCTGTGCTGTCAACAATGGGGCAAGGTGGGAGCGGCTGCAGAGACGGAGACTAAGATAGTGGAGAATGGAGGCTCAGTCGCCGTTGCTGGAGTGTTGGATTTGGCCGTCGCCGATATTCAAATGAGAGAGAGGCAACGATTCTGCACATCTATATCTGGGGAAGCAAGCCATTAATCTTGGACCGCAATATATAGCTGGTGAACCTGTTCGCTTGGAGGGGTTGGCATTTGGAGTATTGTTCAGCTAGTTGCTCTAGAAAGTAAGGGAATCATGCGTTGGCATTGATGACTCAGCACACCTGTACAAACCAAAGATATGTCTGAAAAACTCAGTAAATAGCAAAACAAAGTCTACCATATTACGGGCTAGGGTTACAGAAAAATACCACTTCTCTAAATTTCACAAATTGCTACCACAAATTTGGTTGGCTGTTCCAAAAAACCAAGTGACCGAACGTTTAAATTTTAAGTGTGGTTATGATATCTCTAGCCCACCCGCCAGGTCCATGTTGGCTTTGACAGACGGCGCGTGTCCTGCCGGCTGTTCGGGCACACCGTTCCGACCATGCCAAGACGACCCGAGCTCTGGTAAACCTAGGCGATGGCAGCGACGACGGCGAAACCACTCGACGGCGGTGACTCTATGGGGGTAGGTGGCACAGGGCGGAGATTATATGGAAGTGGATAACTGGCTGGGCAGCGGCAGCTTCATAACGCAGCCGCCGCCATGACCTACACCTCTGCCGCCGCCACAGCCAACACCGCCGATGCAAGAGCAGCCTACCCCGGCGGCATAGCCTACGCCCTCTCCACAGACGAATCAAGCATATGTAAATTATAAAACATACGTAAATGTGTAAAACATACGTAAATTATAATCAAAGTAATAAAAATAAAGCTAAAAAATTAGTGTGTTATAAATATTATAAAAACAAGCAATAACTTATTTGAAAAATGTTCAAAATTTTAAATAGTATTGACATATTATTTTTGAAAAAATAATATAAACTCAATTTTATTTCTAATTATAACTTTATTGTATAATTTAGAGTAAGACAGATATTTATTACATTATAATTCCTAAATATTACTTTACTCATATTTCAACACCTAGATCCATACAAAAGCATGCAAAAGAAATCCTACGTACTACATACCATGTACCACCCTAGCCAATCTTCGTCGTCGGAGATGTCCACCACGTCGGTGCCGGGCGCCGAGTGGACGGGGCGCGTAGGAGGGCTCCGGCTCCTCCTCCTCCTCCTGCTCGACCTCATCCATGTAGGTAAACATCTCCTCCTCCTCCGCGGCATGCTGCGCCACCATCTTCTGCTGGCGATGGCATCTCGCCTCGACATCCGACTTTGAGTGGAGGGAATCAAGGATGTCCTGCTGCTTCGCCTGTAGATCCGCGCCTCCGGCGTTCCCCACACCCTCCTCCGTCTCCTCCACCTCAACCTCCTCCAACTCTTCCTCCGAATCCACTACATCCGTAGGTAGCCCCGCGGCGATTCGGGCTTCGCGTCGTGCCCGGATCTGCTCCAAGAGCTGCAGCAGGCGCTCTGGCGGTAGAAATAGGAGGCCCCTTATCCGGTGGCATGGGGGTATGGCTACTAGTGACGGCGGCGGCGGATGGGCGGAGGAAAATGCGGAGGGGCATGGATTAACTAATACAGTAATTAGGCAAGGCAGATAGTTAGTGACTGATGTGATGGGCGTTTCTTGAGATCTGCTAGAAATGTCTACCATCGAAATGATGGTGTGTGTCCATCGATACCATCGAAATTAACACCTGTGGAAGGAAGGGGAAATGGCGACTTACCGTGCGTGCTTCGCCTGCGCCGCCATGCCACGCGTGCTCTTTCACCGTGAAGAATTGGGGGCAGGTGCGGGAGGCTAGGCTAGACCGGCCGCTCACAATGTTGCAAAGTTTTTTTTTCCCAAACCACAAGGTAGTTTGTGTTTCCATAACCAAGCTCAATGCGAGAGAGGCCAACACTAAACCAAAGGGGCAGGCTTAGTTTCTGTTCTTATATTGGACCACTAGGTAGCTGAACATGGCAGTAATTGGCTCCGACAAAATTCAGCCAAGTTCAGAAAAATTCAGAGATAACAAGTTGAGCGCTATATCGTGAACCAACAAGTTGCAATCTAAACCATAAGATGGGAGACTTTCATTATATGACTTGCAAGCAGTGAAAGGTTATATGAAACCGATTCAACTTTCAGTTCAGTTGACGATTTGATTTGATGTAACCGAGCAGCACAGAACTATGAAAATCCATCTACAAGCTAGTCTCCCTTCTGCCTGCTCACAGCAACATTTAAACTTAGCATTTGACTGTGCAGTGCATGCATACTCAACATTCAAAACTTATACAGCCGGTCAGTTACTATGCAGTGTGTTTTGCTTAGCATATTGCTAACCAGGTGCATTGATAAGACTAGTTTCTTTTGCCAACACGTGTATTATCAGCTCACTACTCTCTTTCCGAGCAAGTAACTTAACATATCACCAAGGGAAATAGCAAAACAATTGATTCAGTGCAGAGGACGATCTGATCTCACCTCCAAAGCTAGCTAGCTAACTATCATGCACTTTCTCCTTTCCCCGATCCGCTGCTGTCTGTGGTCGGCGTGCACCCTGCTGTTCC